CCACCGGCTGCAGCGTGACCTGGACGAGAGCCGCGACTACTGCCGCCGCCTCGAGCAGCGGCTGCAGCAGCACGGCCTGGCGCTGCCCGAGCCGCGGCCCGACGGAGCCGACCCGGACGGGTGCGGACCGGGGGGCAGGCCGGCCGGGACGCTGCGGGGCGGCGTGGAGCGGCGCTGCGCCGAGTAGAACGGTGTTGGGCCGGACCAGGCGGCGCCGGGCCGTGTTGTGCGCTGAGGAGCGGGCAGAGTGATGCCGAGGTGGGCGCAGTGACGGTACCCGGACGCGGCGGTGCAAGGCGAGCGGGGCGGCAAGGAGGGAGGGGCGAAAGGCGTAAGGCCGGGCGGAGCGGTGAGGGGTTGGGAGAAGTGAGTGGGGCCAGGCTGAGCAGCTGGGAGTGAAGGGTAGAGATTTGGACAGGTCACAGCAGGAGCGATATGGAACGGGGAGGGAACGCCAGCAAGCTCGTTTGTGACGTCGTTCAGTTCAGTCAAGTATACTTCCCAATGTAATGGCGACAACACTGAACACCATCCTTACGCTGACTCTCGTCTTGCCGCTCCTTGGCGGTCTGTCCCCTTGAGTGGATGGTGCCCGCGTGACGGCCGTCTGGTGCTCCGCAGCGCGCCTGGGGAGACGCAGGAGACGCCACTGTCTGAGCCTGAGAAGGACGTCGTCCGCGGCGGCCGTCTCTGAGATCGGCACCGGATCTGCCGTCCCTCCGAGCCCCGGCCGCTCAGCGCCTGGCGCTGCGAGACGCGCCTGGCTTTGGGAAGCGCCGCGAACTCTTGCCGCGTGCTGGCGATGGCCTCGTGGAGGTTTTTCGACGCCATCCTGGCTGCGTGAATGGAACTTAACTGCGTCGTTTACAGCCGCCAACGAAAGTTAACGAGTTGTATTGGCCTTATGAGCGTGGTTATCATGTTATGTTGTTGGCATCTTGTGACCCTATGATCTGGTGAGGTTGTCCTCACATGTTCGACTGATGATCTGGCTGATCTGTAACTAGCCTCGGGTAGCGCTGGCCTGCCGGTTCTGATGTTACTTTTGGCATTGGGAAGGGAGGCTTCCTGGATGTCTAACCCAACCGGCACGGTAAGCCCATGTAAGATGCTTTCTCCCATGTTTGGGAGCGACCACACGATTTCGTAGATTTCGTGTGCTCTTTCTCGTCTCGTATAACGACCACCGAGAGCGCTACGCACCTTTGGTCAATCATGCTGGCCATCATTATCGGGGAACGCGCTTGTTACGTGCCTCTGCGTGCCATATTTTGTACCGAATTGTGTATGCGTGATACCAGTGCCCGGTGTGCGCTGGGAAGTTAACGTGCTCATATACGCAGGTTTCGTAGGGGTGTGTTTTGTTTACCTGCCTTGTGCATCTGTATTCGACAGGCCTGTTGGCTAGGTCGTGTTTTGTCGTGGCGTATCAGATACGACTCGCGTTGACACGTGTACAGTGATGACGTCACTGCGAGCCTCACAGCCTACACGGAGCCGTGAGTGGGTGGGTACCTGCAGACATCGGCCTGGGCGGGGCTCATCGCGCAGTCACTGGATTGTCGCCCGGTAACTGTTGGTATGGAATATAGTCCGTCACTTGTTAAGCATTCTCTGTCATATTTTTTTTGGCGGAAAAATGCATCACAGAGTTTCTGGGGTGGGTGGAAGTATTTCAGATCTCGTCATGCTTGCTTGCTATCAACCTCAATTTACCAATCCGGTGCGTGCATTGCATTCGATGGTATTGCGTCAGCTAGAGTTGCTAAAGTTGATATAACATACCGTCTCCGAACCGACAGCTGATGTTCCATGTTTTGCGTTCTGACACCCGGCGGTTTATATCCATGAATGTCTATTGGGAGATAAAACATCGATCGCCCCTGTCTGTATGAAAACGATCTCTTAAATGACTGAAGGATTTCGGGTTGCCATGGGCTAGATTGTAATCTGCGCCGCTTGTCCCAAAAACGGAAGCGGTGGGCATTTGCTAACAGCACCGCCTCAATTAACTGAATATGGGCCTTTTTGTATTTATGTGTTAGTCATTAGCGTTTCATGTTTGTATCACGTTGCCCATGTAGTGAGCTTGTATATTCCGTTGCTACTGTTGTATATTCCGTATGCAACTTAGCTGGTCGGAACCACCAACAAATACAGTTGAATAGTAAAAGCATATACCGGTTTTTTTTGGAGGGAGGGGATTCTAGTGGCTCCAAACAACGTTCAGTGCGACCAGTTTGCCAGCGGTCAACACTTGTCGATCTTAACCTGTGAAATGGCGTGAGATGGACTCGGGAGAACGGAACAGGATTATAACGCCGCAGATGGTCACGAAACGCATATGACAAGCCAGAGCTGCGACGACTGGTGGTGCGCGGCCCGCAGCCTAGACCTGCACTGGAGCGTGGGGGAGCACGTGCCTGTTGCCCGCCCTGCCGTGTTCCGTGACTCTCCTGGTGCCTGCGCGTGTGCGACCGCTCATATATGCGTGGTACACAAAAGTGGGCGTCGAAGTCCAATTTATTTTATTGAACGCTGAGCTGTGTTCTCACTAGATTTATAGAAACAACTCATCTGTACGTGTGCTTAATTTATTGGAAAGGAGCGGGAAGAATATTGCTGCTTGTTGCATGTGAGTTATTTGCTTTTACCCCAGGTTGTGATAAATTGCCAAATTTAGCCATCGATGTTTTGCGTGTTAGATTAGATACAAGATAACGTGTATCTGGGAGTCCTCAGCCATAGAGCCACACCTACACAAGAACATTTTCAGGGTATATGCGGGCGCTCGGGTAGGGTTCCACAATATTAGTGCTACAGCAAAACTACTGACATAAGTGTTACAATAAAAACTCCTTTTCCGGCCGGCCGCATTCGATAACGCGTAGTCAGGTGGCCGTTTGAAGAAAATGGGTCGACGACAGATCTATGTTACCCGCCGGTAGCGCTCCCAAAAGGCTACCGTGTTCACACGGCCAGACGACCCGCGCACGGTGAGCATCACTTTAATGACTGTAAATTGAAAGACCGCTTCGGCGGCCGACCAGCTAGCATTGAGGGGGAGGGGTGCTATCAGGGTGTCAGCCTAACAAAGGGAATACATTTCACCGACAAGCATGTGTCGGCAACACTGATAGCCCTACGACAGTGCTATCTAATGCAAACGCTCGCGTTCTTCGCGCGGGATTATGATTTTTTGCGGGGTGTCGAAGGTAGGCCACCACGCTTGTGGCCAGCCGGTCGCATTGCCGGTCGTAATGCGACGTCTGGAGATCATAGGAGCAAAATGGCTGCCGATGATCGATTTATGTCGCCGGTCGATAGCGGTCCCAGCGTTACTGTTAACATGCGATCACGTGCGGCGGCACGGCAATAGGCATTTTTATTTGCCGCCGTCACTCTGCAAATGTCGATGCTGTCAGTCCGACAGAATTGAGTGATGTGCTGTTAGGTGGTCAGCCCAATAAACTGTATGCCTTCTACGAACAAACATGTTATGGTGCCAGCTGATAGTTTGGCCGGAGTGCTACCAACGCCTAGTCGCACTCCTGCGATTAGCGATATGCGATATCACTTTGCGTGCAATGCAATACGTATTTTTCCCAGGCTGCCATGTGTTGTCCATCACGGTCGCGGTCGCCGTGAGATCATAGGAGCAAAACAGGTCTTGTCTGCCGACAACCGCTTCATGTTACCGACAGAAAGCGCTCCCATAGTCTTACCGCATGCACACCATCGCATGCGCCGCGCACAATAAGTAATCGCGTGAAATGTACAAGTCGCTCCTGCGGCCGACCAGCCAGCACTGAGTGGTACGGCGCCAAGAGGTCAACGCAATGCAATGCATTCATTTGACAGACGAGTTGGTGAGCCGGTGTCAACCGATAACTCCATAGCAGTGCTATCAAATGCGTACGAGCGCGGTCTTTGACCGCGGTTATAGGTATTTTTCCTGACTTCCGCATGTTGGTCATCATGCTCTCAGCCCGTTGGAGGCATTCAGAAATACACCAACGGGGGGGGGGGAGGGGGGGGACGTCAACCAATAAAGTGCATGCGTTCTGCGAAAGGCATGCAGTTTATTGGGCGTACACACAAAAAAGTTGCTGTCTGCTCGCACGACCAATTTACGTTCAAGGCAGGGAGCGCCGCTACCTTATAATGGTATGCACGCGGTTGCATCCGCCGAGCCCGAAAGGAAGCATTTTTGATCGACCACCGTAGCTCTGCAAGGTCGTCGCCGCCGGTTACGATGTCAGTGGTCAGCCACTAAAATGGATGCCTTCGACAGACAAGCATGTTTAGACGCAGCTGATAGCTCTAAAGAAGTGCAGCCAAACACGTGTCGGTGGCAATCTTTGCACTATTATCTGTAGACTGTCAGACCGTTCTCGCCCGACGGGCGGGCTGGCCGTGAAGCCATCGAGGCCGGAATCGCTATTGGACTCCCGCGGGCTGGTCCCGCTGACGGGGCCCTCGACATAGAAGGTTGTCAGATGTCAGCTGTGCCAAGCCCAATGCCGCATCATGGAAACCCGGCTGGCGCTGGGGCGCTGCGGAGTCGGGGCTGCTGGCCGGGCGGCTGACGGCTGGAGAAGACAGACTGCGGTGCTGCGGGGTAAGCCGTCATCAGCCCTTCTCATCCTTCAGTCCAGTCTTCGAGGGTAGAATGGTTGAGCGAACTCGGTCGTTGCAATCATCAGGTTGCTCACTGTGGTTCTGACTCCATGAAGGTTACTGGTTGTTACCAGCAGGGAAATGTGAGATGTGGTGATAGGACGATATGTGATAGGTCGACGTGGTGGGGCACTGACAAAGGAAGTTTTTATCGGTATGGTTTTCATGCGATGCATAGATCGCAGTAATTCATATGTGGTAGGCGGACCAATCAATCTGTTAGATGAGAAGAAAGTCCACCAAGACATCGATGCATTTTACAACATGTTGCATACAATAATCACAGAGGCATGCTGCGTTTGAGACGATGCCTTGAACCAAGATATGTTTGACGGCTGTGGACGGACGCAATCGCTACTCACGTAACGGCAACACACGAATGACAGCATGTTGTGCGGTACAGCAAGTCGGCGTGCGGTTTGCCTACATGACTACACAGCCCTTGCTCTGCTCTGCGGGCGCCTTCTCGTCTTCAGCCTTGCCTCTCCTCCTGCTTCACCCTCTCAGACATCATTTGCGCCTGCGTCCGCTTCTGGTTCTCCAGCTCGGCGCGCAGCTTCTCGATCTCTTGGTTCAGCATCTCCTCGCGCTCGCGCTGCTGGCGCTCCTTGCTCGGCCGCCGGTAGCCGGCGCCGGCCGCTGCCCCCTGCGCCGTCTGCGACGACGGGCCGGAGCGCGGCTGTCCCGGCGCCGGCGGCGGCTCGGCCGAGCTGCGGCGACGTGGTCACAGCGAACGGTGAGGTGACGGGCGCGCGCAGCTCGGCCGGTGGATCGGGCCGGCCGGGGTGTCCCCGTGCCGGCGAGCCGCCGCCGCCCGGCCACGGCACCTCGGTGGCGGCCAGTTCGTCCCGCAGCCAGTCGGGCACGGGCGCCGCCGTGACGTCCAGGTCCGGCGGCCGCGCGGCAGCGGCGGCCCGGCGCGGGCGAAGGCGGCGCGGGCGGGGCCGACGCCGGCGCTGGCGCGGGCGGAGCCGGTCCCGGCGGCGAGGCACGCTGTGGGCTCGACTCGGCCGAGCCCTGGCTTGGCGGCATGTTGACGCGCGGCAGCGGGCACGTCGTGTCCACGACCAGGAACACGTTCTGACTCTGCGCGTGCAGGCTGCCAGGCTGAGCGTCTCCCCCCTTGCTGATCTGCGCCTGCGAGGCGTACAGGGCGAGCACCTCGCGCGGCTGGTACTGTACCTCGCGGTGCGCACCGTCGGTCGGCCTCAGGCTCAGACTCAACGGCGGCGCGGCCGGCCCGCGCTCAGCGCGCTCGCCGCCGGCTGCTCGCTGCTCGGCCGGCTGGCCGTCGGCGGCGGGCTGACGCGCCGCGTGCCCCACAGGTAGAGCACATTGTCAATAGTGCCCACCACGGTGAAGGTGCTGCTGCCACACTGCACCATCGTCACCGTCTTGTCCATCATGCTGCGCACGAGGCCGGGTTGGCCGGCGGCGCCGCGCCCGACCCGCGGCCCAGCTGACCCTCCGAGTTGCGGCCCCGAACGACACCAGGTGGCCATTCTCAGTGAGCGCAATGGTATGGTTGTGGCCCCCATGCTGACGTCGATGATGCGCGACCGTGACCCGACTTAACGGGCGTCGGCACGAGCACCTTGCCGACCTCGGCGATGGATGAGATGAGGCCACGGCGCGGGTTGAGGCCGAGCTTGTTGCGCTCGTTGTTCCCGCAGGCGAGCAGCGAGCCCTGCTGCGTGATGAAGATCGTGCCGTCGCCGCCGCAGCGCACGTTCTCCACCACGTGCTCTTCGGGGATGGTGACCTCCTGTGGCAGGCTGCAGTCCTCCTCATGGCCGAGCCCCAGCTGGCCGCCCTGGCCCTGGCCCCAGCTGTATACCTCGCCGCTGCCGCCCACCACCACCACGTGGCGCCGGCCGCAACGCGATCGCCGATACGTCCACTGTCAGCAGCGACTCGACCAGCTTGGGTGTGGACGTGTTGTTCCCAGTTGCCGTGGGGCCCAGGCAACCGTACGTGCCGTCGCCGCACGTCATGACGATGCCGTTGTCGCTGGCGAAACACGCTGAAGCCCTGCGGAGAGTGCGGTGCGTCAGACAGCTAGCCGGGGGAGCGGGGGCAGCGGGAGTGATGTGCGCCGACCGAACGCCGGGCGGACTGCAGTGCACGTGGCGGCCGCCGGCGGAGTTGATGTGCGCCGACCGAACGCCGGGCGGGACTTGGAGTGCATTCGCGGCGGCCCGCGGGAGTGGTGTGCGCCGACCGAACGCCGGGCGGACTGGAGCGCACGCGGCGGCCGCGGGAGTGATGTGCGCCAACCGAACGCCGGGCGGACTGGAGTGCACGCGGCGGCCGCGGGAGTGATGTGCGCCGACCGAACGCCGGGCGGACTGGAGCGCACGCGGCGGCCGCGGGAGTGATGTGCGCCGACCGAACGCCGGGCGGACTGGAGTGCACGCACAGATTTCACAGCTCGTGCTGTGTAGTTTTGTGAGACAGCAGTCTTACACTGTGGTATGCCTAAAGGCATGATAATGAAATGCAGGTCAATTCAAAGTGGTCAGGGAGGAAGTCGTTCAACTGTAGTTACATCCGATAGTTTGTCAGCAGCGACAGCTGCGCGCGACGAACCGAGGAACCGCAAAACCACAACAGCTGCAGGTATTCCATCCCTACACGGCCCAAATGCACCACCCCGACAACCCCGGGAACCGCACCGAGCTGTACTAACCGTCGCCGGCACAGACGCGCGTGATGGACTTGGTCTTGAGCGCCATCACCAGCTCTGGCTTGGCGCGCCACGCCTCGGTCATGCCGTGCCCCAGCTGGCCCTTCTTGCCCTCGCCCCAGGTGAAGACCAGGTGCTCGGTGGTCAGCGCGATCATGTGCGTGCTGCTGATGGACACTTCCTTGATGCGCGCGCGCGGCGGCAGCGGGATCGGCAGCAGCCCGATGGACGACTCGCTCGCCTTCATGTAGTACAGCACGGAGCGCGGCGGCTTGGGCGACCTGGTCTTGGACGGATGCTCGATGTTGAGGCGCACCTGCCGGCGACGAGGTCAGAAGTGCAGAGCACGGCTACCACCCAGCTCGAAACGCCACGTCACGTGGTACACTGATGCTTTTACCAGTGGCTGGCGGGTCGGGAGGGGGGCTTCCGGCGCGTACTGTGATGAACTACCAACTCCACCTCTTAAGTAACGGTGGGATGCATCCGTGCGACTGGACCAGCTGACTGGCGAGGCAAGTGAAGCGCGTGGCAGTATGTAAATTTATGGCTGACGAGCCTGCCTTGAAATGTTTTAAACGATCATGTGCGACGCAATTAAGATGCACCGATCCGTCCGGCAAAGTCACTGACTGGCTCACAAGCTGGATTTATGACAGTTTTGGTTTGGTGACAGTTTTGATAGCCCACACGTCACCTGAAGTCCAGTACAGTCCAGCCTCCTGGGCAGTCTGATAACTGGCAACTTGATTTATTCGTTACTTCATTCGTGGTGGCGTGTCTCAGTCGCTTTGCCCGTCGTAAATCTGGCCGGTGTCGCGCTCCTGTGACCTGGCTTGCCGGTCGCAAACGGCCCGTGACCCTGCTCTATGACCTGACCTCCTCACCGTCGGGCGGCCCAGGTCGTACCTCGTTGACCCTCATCTCACGTACCTCCACAACCGTATGGCGTGTTGCGATGACCGAGGTGTAACTGAAGACGCATCATCACGGCCTGAACTGACCACCAGAGTTGGCCGGCGACCCGTCTCTGTCACCCTGCGACCCACTTTTGTCACCCTGCGACCCACCGTTGCCACCCTGCGACCCACCGTTGCCACCCTGCGACCCACCGTTATCAACCTGCGACCCACCGTTACCACCCTGCGACCCACTTCTGTCACCCTGCGACCCACCTCTGTCACCCTGCGACCCACCTCTGCAACCCTGCGACCCACCTCTGTCACTCTGTGACCCACCTTTGTCATCCTGCGACCCACCGTTGCCACCCTGCGACCCACCTCTGTCACCCTGTGACCTACCTCAGTGACCTCGTCCTCCTCCCCTTCCTCCAGGCGCTGATAGCGGAACTGGTTGAGCAGCACCGGCAGCCGGTCGTAGAGCGCCTCCGCCGCGCTCGGCCGAAAGTCCGGGTCGCGCTGCAGCAGGTCACGCACCAGCTGCCGGAAGCCCGGCGAGTAGTTGCCGCGGATCGGCGCGAACTGGCCCTTCATGATCTTGTTGACCAGCGCCGGCAGGTTGGAGCCCTCGAACGTCTTCTGCAGGCAGGCCATCTCGTACAGGATGCAGCCGAGCGCCCAGACGTCCGACTTGGCGTCGTACCGCTGGCCCTCGCACATCTCCGGGCTGATGTAGTAGGGCGTGCCGAGCACCGTGTGCGCCGCCCCCTGGTGCGTCGCCATCTTCTTCGAGATGCCGAAGTCGCCCACCTGCCGGCGACGCGGACTGTAATGTGTGGAGTGCGCAGGGCACTGGCGGGCGCTGGGTCTGACGGACGCAGTGACTGGCGGGCGCAGTGTCTGGCGCCCGCTCAGTGGGTGCGGAGAGTCGCCCAGCGGGACCGCGACGTTGTAGGACAGGTGCGGCAAGGGTCTTCTCCATCACGACGGTCCGTCGGAAACGACAGATTCAATAGTGATGGCGTTCCTTAACGAGGTTGTGCACTTCCAACCTTCCCTCCGTGTGGGTTGTCGCTAATCCCATCCCCGTTTGCTAAAATATATCCAACTTGGAAATATGCCCGCAGCGTATTGCGTCGTTCAAGCTCGTTAACTAAGGCGTTTTGTGACATCATATACAGATCGGTGTAGATCTCGCTTACCCATACAACTTGGCCACCTCAGTTCAAAATCTCACGTAAAGGTTGAAAACTTCATGTGAAATCGGTGTCACGCAAGGCGCGACAAAAATTAGTCCGAGTCCACAAATTAGTCCAGAAAAAAACTGAGTTCGTCCCGACAGACCAGTTGGTTAGAGCGTCTGCCTTCCGATCCACCCACCCGTGGCGGGGTGGGTTCGAGTCGCTTTAGGGCGCTCGCTATTTGTCCTTGACAGGCATGGCCTGCGGCCGGTGGCAGCGGCCGCGGTAAAGGTCAGTTGACGCCAGAGGGCAGGACGGACCGTGCCGAGCATTGCGGTATGTTAAGTTTTCGACACTAAATTATGCCGTTGCCTGGAATTGCACAATCGGATGGTGGGGGTCAGGGCTCATACAACAAGCACTGCTTAGCGTGAGCGCTGATCCCAGAAATCCACCCATTTAAAGGGTTCGGATCAAATTAAACAAAGTTAAATGTCTAGACATCAGGGTACAGACGGCCTCATGGCGGTCGATGGGAGCGCATACCTTGACGACGCCCTGCTTAGTGAGGAAGATGTTGGCCGTCTTGAGGTCGCGGTTGCAGCACGTTGTGCTCGTGCATGTGGCGCACGGCCGACACGATCTGGTGGAAGATGACCAGAATGCTGCGCTCGTCGATGCGTTTGGCCTGGCTGGCCAGATACTGGGCCAGGGTGCCGCCGTCCACGTACTCCATCTCGATAAAGAGCAGACCGTCCCGCTCAAAGTTGTCGTGGTAGGCAACGATGTTCGGATGGTCCATCATGGCCAGCACCTGCGGAAAAGCACGGCGTGTGGTGGACGCTGCAGAAGCGTACCGCATCAAATCATGTCCGGGAATGATTTTCGGTGGCAATCTACGCCTATGCTCTAAAATAACCACCGGCGTTGCGGAGAAACGCGCAAGCATTGTATTTCCACGTACAAAAGCAACACAACGATGGGTTTTAAACGGAGCGTTGTAATTATTTGCTGTCTGCATACAAGTGTTTGAACGAAAAGGCATCGCAGATTCCTTGGCGGATTTTCACCAGACCCGGTTATCGTAAGGCCGCACTGAGTGAGGGTTAAGCCTGACCGACCCGATGGCAGTGTCCCCTCAGTTTCGGTCAGCGGCGTCCCAGGCAATGACGCTCGATGATCGATCAGGCGGCTTACTGCGGAGGGAAGTATTCGACGCACCAGCTGACAGTAAGCATGCGAACCGTGTCTGGCTTCTGATGCGGTCTTTACATGCTGGTTTGCTGCTTTACCTCGATCTCGTTGATCGCGAGCTTGCGTTCATCTGCCGAGAGGTCATGCATGTTGATCTCCTTGATGACCACCAGGGTGGAGTCATCCTTCTTCTGGTAGAGGATCGCCTGGCCGAAGGCACCCTTGCCCACCGAGCGGATTCGCTCGTAGTTGGAGAGGTCCTTGGCGGCAAACTTCTTCACGTTGGCGGCCGTCTTGAGCGCGGTGCGCAGCTTGGCCGTGTTGAAGTAGAGCTCGCCCACCTGCTCCATGTCGGGTCGGTCCGAGCGGACGGCCACCTCACTGCCGTACAGACTGTTCCATGTGGCCACGGGAATCTGCCATCAGCGAGATCATTCTATCAGGCCCATGCGTGGGTGTTTTGATTAGGGGTCGGTCTGAGCTATCCCGATGCATCGGTCTTCGGGGAGGCACCTCTGTATGCAAACTAGTGTTCGGGGAAGAACCCCTGCATATAAGCCGCCTCCAATCAGTTGGCGGAATGTGGCAGTGCAGTGCGAGTGTGCGATGGCCTATGACATCTGATGCCCGGATAAGGACGCTTACGTACCGCCTGTTAAAGTGTCTTGGAAATCACCATCCGCCTCCTTCGTATGATGACTCCAGGCGCTACGACCATCACCTGCATTCTGGATCAATGCATCTCACATAATACACTCAGGACCTGCCTTAAAGTCCGGAGTCAACTGAGGTGGAGGGTTCGAGCTGTCCTACCCTACCCCATGAAACATATGGGGACCTCATATGCGCACGAGCGGCACTCACCTGCAGCAGCGACTCGAGCTGGCGGGCGATGAAGCCACCGTCGTAGAGCGGCGAGACGCGCGCGTCCAGGAAGTCGAGGCGCGCGGTCGGGCCCGGCTCGAGCAGGCGACCGAGGCCGGTCATCAGCTCGCGCACGGCCTGATCGTCCGTGCACGACTCGGCCGTCAGCGTCAGCTCGCCCGGCTCGCACACGAAGATCTCGCTGTCGGAGCCGTGCATGACGCAGGCGAGCGAGGCGGCGCGGCCTCCGCCCAGCGCGCCCTCCGCCAGGCTGAGCACGTCCGCCGGCGAGCTCAGCTCAAAGCTGTAGCGCACCACGAGCACGCCGGGCGCCGCGCAGCCGCTGATCTGCTGCGCGTGTCGGTACCGGCTAGAGACGAGCAGCAGCCGGCGCGGCGCGGCGCTGGTCAACACCATGGCGGCAGCGGGGAGCGGCGGGGACGGGGTGTCACGGCCCGCGCGTCGAGAGCGCGCCGGACCGTCGCAACGGGACGAGAGCGCGCCGCGCCCCAGACGGCTACCGCACGCGGTGCGCCTGAGACTGTAGACGCGCCCGCTCAGCAGTCCCTGGCGCCCGCCGAGCTCAGTTCAGCACACACCAGGCCGGCTCGGACCGGGCCGACCGTCCAGGTGCTGGCGCTCCACCGCAGTGGCAACTGTCGCGCACTTGGTGCACCAATCGATGCCGCTTGCTTGGACGGCGGCGGTGGCCACAACGGCGGCCCGTCGGTCGCACGTCACCTATCGACCGGCGGCCGGCTCCAGGCGGGCCGACACACACACCCGATAACGGGTCAGGGTCAGGTGACGGGACTGGTCACTGCCTGCTCGGCCTCATCGCAGGGGGCCTCCTGGGCATTGTTGCGTCGAGCAGGGGACACCGGGGTATGTGCCCCTCATCAGCTTGCAAAATCATAATTATTCATGTAAGTAAATGTTGTCAAATAATACAGTTATACGGAATAGTGGCCTTCTGATTAACACGGGGTCTTCTCGATCTAGCAGATGGCCTCCATATCCCAAAGCATGTCGTCCTGTCCCAGAAAAATCCTTCGGATCCAAAGAGAAGTCTCCTGGTCGATAGAGCAGCCGTCTCCTAATCCAGAACAGGATCCTTTTGATTCACAAACGGCCTTCCAAACCCAGCAATGGGTTTTGTTATCCCAGAACAGCGTGTCCTGATCCAGACCTTCGTCCATCTGAGACATGGAAGTGGTGTCCTGTTCCAGAAAGCGAAAGGGACCTCCTGGCATATGGAGTGAGCTATCTAATTCAAAACAGGAGCCCCTTAGTACATAACGGGCCTCCCGATTTAGCAGAAAGACCTTCTTAGCACAAAATTGGGCCTCCTGGTCCAGGACTTAGTCTATCTCATTCGCAAAGGTGGTCTCATGATTCAGAAAATGGACCAGAGAAGGGCTTTCTGATAAAGAGGAGTATGCAGAGAAGAGAGGAGTGCAGAATCGAAAGAATAGGAGCAGAGAAAGTTTTTTCTGAGTTCGATTTAGGGCCAGTTATGGGGACACCGTGATTGGTTTAAATTTATGTAGTGTTCGTGAATCTCAGCAGTAAACGTCACACACGGAAGACTGAATAACTTAATTGGAAACTGAAAGTGAAAATACCATGCAATCAAAGAATGTCATGCATGGTCTATGCCTAAGTAAAGATATCTTACCAACGTATAAAAGTATGGGTATAAATATATACATGTTACATGGTTGCATACACAGGTGTTTTTACTCGTTGCTGTATGGAAACCAGCTATCGATATCGGGGCCATGTGAAGAGCTCCTCTCTGGCACTATTTGAGTTGCTCTTATAATCTGGAATTCTTCATTGCTGATTCAAATACATACCAACATATGCGGGCTGAATTGCTTTACCCACGCATTCATCTCGGATTCAGATTGATTCAGTCCGGCGTATAAATACAGCGATGCTAGCCGACCACTTCACAGTCGTCTCTCACGTGCCTCCGACTTCTCTGTACCCTTCACGTGAAAACACGCCACCTGCCACTTCCTTTCCAGTCGATTACAAGGTAAGTGCAATCAATAAGTCATGCCATGGCTGCCTATATGATGGACATAAATAACTACGCATTCTCGTCCAGTGATTTAGTTGCACACGAGAGATTCAAGGAATCCGTTATCGTATAGAAAAGGAAATATGATCCCATTTGTGACGTCCAAATACAAAGGGCATGCGCACGTACGACCACACCCGACTTATGTCGACCAAAAGTACCCAAATGGGTTTTTGGCATGTCCGCGTGTGATTGCTCTAGAGTTCGAAAAATGCAGTTCCAGAAGCGGTTCTCATATCCAGGCTAGTGCAAAACAACGGCGGTGCAGCGAGCAGCGACTGCTGTTCGACAAGGGTTTAATTTCCTCTGGCACTTGAGGCTTAACTTGGTACTTGCTTGATTAATCCTGCTATTGTATTCCAAGCCATCTTATTCCCATGCAGTTTGTTTCCAGTCCCAGATGTATCACTGTGGTTAGAAACATCGCCCCATAGGCGGCATTCAATGCAATGCAGCGGTTTCTTAAAGGTTCCTGGTATGCACGAAATGTATCTTTTGTAAATGAGATGCCAGTTGATTAACCCATCTAAAGGGGAACAAACCAGAACTAATCATACATTGTTACTGGATGTTGCGGCATGAACGTCGGCTGACCGCAAGCGTTATACCGCATATAGGCAGCTGTGTAAATAATGTTCGTAATGTCTAAATATCTTTGAATTGTTCTTCGGCATATATATATATATATATATATATATATATATATATATATATATATGTTCAGTTTCACACTCCATGATGTTACGTGAGAGCTATCAGCCTAAGGAGCAAAAAGCAAGCATCATGGTGCTGAATGTCGTACCTGGTATGTTGCAGGATGCAGCTGTCAGAATTTCTGACTGCTCTTCTGGTCGCAATGGTCGCCGTCCTCACGTTTCCGAAGTGCCAGTCGCAGATCATGCCCAGCGAATCGGTGCTGCCTAGGCCATATATCAAGCGCTCTTTCGCTGAACTTAAATGCCGTGGCGTGTTCAACAAGGTGATATTTCATGAGTTGGACGAGGTGTGCCAAGAGTGCTACACGATCTACAAAGAGCCAGAGCTGCACGGCCTGTGCCGGTATGTCTCAAACTCTGCCTTCATATCGATGACGTTTGCTGCTCATGGACTGTATTGTACAACAAATATATATATATATATATATATATATATATATATATATATATATACCTGTGTGTGTATTTGTGGGCGTGTGGGTGTGTGGGTGTGTGTACAGCTTACTCACTAAGAAGTGACTCGTATCAACATATCGCGATCATCTTACGCATCTTATATCAGCACGAGACACGTTTCCCAGAGCAACGGTTGCATCACCAGGTAAAAAAGACCCTCGTTTAGCGTAAACCACAATGATTCAAAACGCGCACATGACACAGACAAATTGAAAATAACACACAGGCACGTGCAATTTCACCGAACCCATCAACCCCCCCCCCCCCCTCCCACCCCCACCCCACATTCTACGGGCATATTTCATGTTGCCACAGTCTGAAATGGATGTGATCAAGTCTTCATTAAGAATGCTGAGATCATGACGAGAATCCCTGGATTAGATCCTAGGGTTATTTTGGTGAGAACCCAAATGCTGCCAATCTACCGCTGTAGGTGAGTTTCGTTGTGCCTCGTGTTGGCCATCCTACAAAGGTTCCAACCTTCGGGACTTGCACAGTCGCATTCAGCAGCATTTGGATATCTATATCTGGACAGGGACCTGACACCTCTCCATCATGAACATTCGTTTACATGTAACACCCCAGTATTGGCTTCAATTCTAGTGTTTTCGGCGGAACATATTCCTTGCTTGATTTCAGAATCTTAGTCTTTATACGTTTTTTTTTTTTTTAAAGAAACGTCCCGCGCTTAATAACATAACTGCAGCACACCCATCAAAAATTGTGATGACAGGGAATATGGCTGTAAACCTGGGGATGGGTCGTGTGTCATGGCATATTGCTTCTCTTGTGTTTTCAATTTGTCTGTGCCATGTGCCACGGTTACTGGATCTATCTATATGCCTGTTTTAAACCATTTCGGTTTACGATGGAAGCGCGTGTTCTTTTGCCTGATGATGCATCCGTTGTCTTGCGAAACGGAACGTAACCTATTAAAAATGCACAAACTGATCAGTGTATATTTACATATATATGTATATATATATATATATATATATATATATATATATATATATATATATATGTACATATGTATATATGTATGTATATGCACGCGGTACCAGGCAACGGGCGTTACATCACACGTATTATAGTAGCTGCAGTGTCTGTCATGTGCTTCTTGACTACCGAACAGCTAGTATTGACGGTCAACAGTTTAACGTCGAGGCCTTGAAATCGTGTAGTTCCTTTGATAACTTTTGTATCCGTCGTCACCGGCATTATATTTCAACCACTCACTTGTGACACTTGTTTCAGGTCCGAGTGCTTCACATCCGAATACTTCAAGGGTTGTCTTCAGGCGCTGATGAGAATGGAGGAACTGGAAAAGTTTGATTCCCACATTCGAAAAATCAGCGGAAAGAAATGAGGGCTGTTAGGAACCTCATGTACTATGTTTCAGAACGACGTGAAATGAAAGTGGTCATGTGGAACAATGGTGTGTTACGGTAGCCAGTATATGGTTATGACCTAAGGCAGATGTTCGGGGCATCTAGACCGTTAGCAACGTGTTGTTGGAATGCTGCTGGGAGGGTTTCGTGGCATGCAAATAAACGTGTGTGATCAGCATTTTTGCAGAATTCCCAAAAATGAAAAATAATTGAATGCAGCTTCCACAGAGACTCCATTGAGGTACGTATGGGAAGTTGATATGAGCGCCACTTTAAGAGCGTTTCGATTACGATACTTGATGCGATGCACTAACACCACAACAGCTGGTGTTGAAACCCTCGGTGAGCTGGTGTATTTGACTTGACACTTGCCAGACCAAGCGGTAATCGGGTTTATTCAACCGTCATGCATCCAAATTTCACCACGCTGACAATCGGGTTGAAGGTTCGATTTCAGTTCGGTTACGAGCAATCGGTCACTAGTCTACATTGGCAGCCTAACGACTTCGAAGCGGCTATTAATCCCAAGATGCGCTCGGTGAGGGTCATTTTGACCCCCCAGGGTTTTTCCCAAAATGGTTTCAGGATGGTGCGGGGTAGCCGCACCACATTTTGCATAGCTATAGACAGTTAAATAGCGGACCGTGTGGTATCAAAAAATTGGATGTAACTTGCAAGGTTGCTGACCTATGGCAGGTCAAAGTCAGCCTAGAATTCAGGGAAAGCAATTTCAAGGGAACCGTTCAATCTGATGGAACATTGAAGTGTTAGACGAAGGTTTACATCTCTGAGATACTTTCTGAGGCAGCACATCAATGGAATAAACAACTTCCATTAACCTAGGGTCAGATATGAAGGTCAGACCAAGGTCAAGACTAACCTACTTTATTACTTTTGGGGCTTGCTGTGTGGGATAGTTTCTGGTGCTCATTTCGAATTTACTGATGAAAGGAACCGCATTGGACATATTTCATGGAGTTCTTGTAGGTCAGAATAGTTCACTGACCTAACATGACCTAGCTCGGGATTTCGTTTTAGGAATATACTGCCTAGCTCAATCTCTTTTCTTTTATTGAAATGCAAAACACAAAGAAGTCTTCTATGATTTCGGTCCCTGACATTCTTAAGGTCAAACGAGGTCATGGACTTTTTGCTTAGAACAGGTATCTGGGTTCTGAGGACACTTTGTAGACCAACTTGGAGCTTGACCTTGTTTGACCTTGTTTGACCCCAAGGTTATGACCTCATAGGCTCAAACTTTGAACTAAGTGACTTCATATACAGGCCAACACGCCCCGTGAATTTGGTGTATCTAGCCCTCTGAGTTACTGAGATCTCAAAGGGCGTCAAGTTAACCCACCAACCAAGCGAAGGGTATCCAACGGGCCACCCGGGCGTGTGCTAACTGGTAAATGAGCTTAAGTAAGTTTCTCGGGAGCAAATTGCTCAGTCCCTATTCCGAGGTGTTTGACTTCCATATTCAGGGTGTCTTCATCATCGCACTTCACTATCTCATGGTTGCCATATCTCAGCGGGGGTCCCCTGAATGTAATCCGATTAACGATCGGCACTTACCGTTCACCTGAGTGGAGAATGCGGTATGGTTGGTTTGGCAGTAGCCACACTGGCTTGGAAGAGTGGGGCCAGGGGCGGCCCCGCGAATTTTCGGTAAGGTGACTTTTAGAAAGGTGACGCGAAATAGGCTGCACAAGTTCGCGTGCGTCGAACCCAGACATTAGATGGTTAAGCATCTTAAGAAGGGCATGGCTGCGAGCTACAGGGAGTGATCTTGAAAATGGCTATCTTTATTTAAAGGCTGAAAGAATTGCGGATTGATCACTCGCGCAAGATGCAGCAATGGACCAAACTGCACATTGTCAAAAACGCTCATCTCGTTTGGCGACTAACGTCATCCCCAGCGGGACACGACTCGGAACCCTGCGAGATCTGCGGCTGCCAGTTGGGATGCCTTGGCTGCCGCGGCGTATGTCCGAACTACGGGTGACCCTGCCGGGGGCCCGGTGACCGGTGACCCTGAGACACCCCGTTCCTCCCTTATGATTAAACGTGTTGGCTGCACAAAGTGCAGCAAACGAGCTACCTGCTTTGCTACCTGCGAGCAGCTTTACCACGGAGTTACTGCTTTGTGGACCTCTGGGTGAAAACAGCTCAAAGCAGAGAAGCCGTCTCGGGTCTGGGAGCATCCTCCCACCTACACACCCCCACCGCAGCCTCGATCCCATCACCCATCACGACCGCTCTGTACAGAGGCCGTTGCTGGCACCGCCAATAAATTCATTTGGTGCCCGTATGGTTTCCGCGTCTAAAACAGACCGCACGCAAACGCCGCAACATCTGCAACGCAAACAGCAAACCGCAGACCAAAACACCACAGACATCTGTGCCGCATCTCCGCGCATCCAAAACATGAACACTGCACTGGAGACTGCACATTGCTTGGCCAATAACGCGCCGGTCAATGCACCACTTTTGAGAGCGCTGGCAAGCTTTAGGTGAGCCACTATTTGCTGCAGCTCTTTCCAAATCCGTCGGCTAGCTTTCGACTGTCTTCTCTTTGCGCTTCACAAAAGAGGGCTCCTGTGGGCCGCCGAAACTACTGTGTCATGAAGCTTTTGCATAATGGAGACCCAATTAAAGGCCATTTTAGGTAGCACCAGCAACCCTTTGTAAAACGCTTCTGGTGCATGACTGGATGCTGGTTTGAGACTCGTGATGAAACGGACATTATGGGGTGATGATAAACCACAGCCCTATGAGGTCATACCTTATTCAAAATATCGAAGACGTGTTTTTGACCCTGGAACTTCCTGGGGCGTGAATTTTGACGAAAGCGCTGTCGAAGATTACCTGCTGTTGTCCTCTGAACAAAATCACGCCAATCTTATGTTTCACAGTGTTTTTGGTAAAACACAGGCTAGAGGAATATTCAGGGTCGAAAGCCTGTCTCTGGTATTTTTAGATAAAGTTTGGCACCATGAGAGTGTGTTTTACCATAACCCTGCTATATTTGCTAATTCCTTGATGTGGCGTTCATTGAACCAGCCATGTGCATACCAGTTTTCATTTTATCCGACGCAGTTCAGCGTTTTTATTCCCTCAAAATACGGGCGTTGCCTGCACGGGCATCGCTCGATTACCGCCCACCATGGGTGGCGGAGCCGGTACATGGACTAGAGCCACAGGTGCACACTGCCTACGGTGAAATACTTCCTTGAGCATGTACAATCTAGTGGGGTTATTAGTATTCTTAAAGTTACTAAATATCTCCTTAATCATCTCTTGTTTCTGTTCTTTACACAAACTGATTGTTGTGAGTGTTCGAGACAATCGCGTGCTGTCCACCGGCCGGACAGGTTACGGGCAAGGTCAGCTCCCGCTCGCGGTGTTCTGAGCGCCCAGTTGGTTTTCACCTGCCGGCTTCGCCATGTGAGTACAGCGCTGATCAGAATTCTGCACAGATCAATGCTTGATGGATGCCTAATGGTGTCTGAAGTAACAATGTGTCATAAATTATGCCTGGGAACCGCTACTCGCAGTTCTTGTCATAGAGGAGGAAGCTACCACGTATTGCACTGTTGTAATGCGTCAAAACGTAGTAACACCAATGATAACCTCATTAACCCAGACAACTCTAATGTTCGAAAAATCGCAGTCAGACCACCAGCAAAGGGAGCGTTTCACATAGCATGACACCATAGAAACTTCACTCAAATGCTGCCATGTCTTTGGGCATGCAGTGCTCAAGGCAAAAACACCTAATCGTCTAGTTTTTCGTGTTTGGGATATGTGAGCACGATTTGTAGAATAAAAGGACTTTACTTGGCTCTCAACGAACGTTATGAATCATAGGAGGTTTCTAACACGAATCATGTTTTGTGATTTGTCACTACAAAACACGCACACATAGCGATATTTGGGTTCTGGAAAAGCTACAACCATTACCACGACACCACTCGAGAACCTAAAGCACTACAAGTGCGTTAGCCCATCCGCTATGGTGGCAACTTCGCATGGCTGGTTTGGAGTCCCTTTGAAGTCATGAACAATGTTCCATGACGCAATCAAAGGGTGACGCATTGAGGAACAAAACTGATTAGTGAAATGTTGTCGTCTAGAGCAGTCTTTGCAAATAAAAGTATGACAACATTTGCAAATAGGCAAGTGAGTCTCATCATAAGTTTCGCTCGCTTCAGTATCTTGAAATGTGCGACATTTCCTTTAAGAACATGGTCAATATGCTGTTCGGGAAACGTACGCGTGCATCACCAAGTGCGACCAGGCCCATCCATCGCACTGCTGAAGTGCTTTGAAACAGATGCCTTTCGTAACCCCATGTTCTGCGCCAAGGGCTGAGGCAAGGCTGTCTGTTCAGTTGCCACCTCTTTTCTGGTGCATAGAACCGTTGGCGCGTATAGTTCGGAGTGGCCGACACAAAAGGGATGCACTTTGGTGCGAAATATATCGAAATATCGTGGTGTACAGACGACAATTTTAAGATTCTGGATTGATAAGAACAGTCACTCAGGTACTGCGTGTAGCGAATGTAGCCCGAATGTAGCCCGAATGCAGCCTGAACTGGACAGCGGGCCCAATCGAGAATTTGGGGTTGACACTCGGGCCCAAGACCAGCGATCTGGTGCCTCCCCCGCAAGGAAGCGTTCTGTATTTCCCTTGTTGCTCAACAGGGAGTTGAGAAAGTCCTTCTTTCGCCGCACCTCATGTTGCTGTCCATCCTATCCCATTATACTCGCTCTTTCCGTGATCTGTACCAAAAACTGCCATTCGTACAAATTCCTGCAGTGAAATTCGTGGATTAACAACTATGTTTTCTTTGCTGAGCCACGTAAACGTGTGTGGGGAAATCGTTTTTTGTTTAGCCCAGTTCTCTTTGACTTCAGCTCCTGACCAGTTGCGTAATAAATACGTACGCACTTTTGCACGCCACAAAATGGTGAAT